GTGTTTTTTTCGATGAACAGTTCCCTTTTCCCCACTTCTCACCTCATTCATTTTGCTGCGTGCTCTAGCAACGTGAATATCCTTAGTTAGAAAAAAAATCCCACGCATTCTTTGTTCTCTGCATATCTTTTTGCTCTTCATTTTGCTAAGGAAAACTTCTTTTTGTGATTTTGTGACTTGGAATGAAAGGCTAACTTTGGCTCAGAGCCCGAAAAAGAACTTGAGTGACGAGAACGGGAAAAGGAAGGAGGGGTGGAGGAGGGGGGAGGAGGGGAGGAGAAGGGGAGGAGAAGGGGAGGAGGGGAGGAGGGGAGGAGGGAAGGAGAAGGGAAGGAGGGGAGGAGGAGGTGAGGAGGAGGGGAGGAGAAGGGGGTGACCTTTTTAGAATAAGCACAAGGCTTTGCTTTTTGGTTAATTAGAAAATGCTTATTGGAATAGATTAAAAAAACAATTTGAGTAGCTGTTAAGATGCTGATTTTACTCAAAACGCTAATTGAATTGAATCGTAATTGAATCGAATAGCCGGGTCTGTGGCCGGATCGCAATTGTGTGTTCGCACAAAGAATTCAGAAGTTCAGAAGTCTTCCAGTATCATTATCTTTCCCAAAATTGTTTCCATCTTTGTCTCACCGCAAATGAATGTTTCGTTCTTTTGATTTTCACGAATCGTTAGCCGCTGTTAATTTAAAATCCTCCTTAAAAAAAGGTGAAGGAAGGAAAGGCAAAAAAGAAAAAAATTCCCTCTTGCGAATTCTTTTCACAAAATGAGAGTGTAGCTTTCCTTTTGTGAAATGACTTTGATCTCATTGTGTCTCTTTTTTTTATAAAATTTTCATTTTATAGAAGGGGGAAGTTTTTCTAATCTTCTTACATTTTGTTCATCTCCAAATCACAGATGATAATCTCAGATTTATTTCAAAGTCTATTATTGAATGTTTCTTTAGTGGGTGAAACGAGGAAAACCCATCAATTGGAACAACAACAAATCGAGAATGAGCTTGTGAATATGGAAAAGATTAATTATGTGAGTTTTCAGGAGAAAATGATATTGAAATGGGAAGGGAGTTGGATTTAAAGTGCAGAGAAAAATAGGGCCAAAGTTTTTCACCTAATAGTTCTCATCAAACAATTTTTTTGTTTTAATTCTTAAAAAGAATTGAATTCTTTCTTTCTTATCACTTTTATTGTTATTAAATTGCAATCAAAGATTTTGGTTCAAATGTGAATCTAGAAATAAATTAACGGATACCAACTGGGATACCAACTGGGCTGTGGTGTGGTGGTTAGCATGGTTGACCGAGAAGCGAAAGGTGGCGGGTTCGAGTCTCGTCGTCGCACGAGTTTTTGAGTTTTGCTCTAGTTCCAACTCATAACTCCCTATGTATAAGTATCGGATTTGATTTGAATATATAATAGTTTAACGATTAGTTGCAAACTGTAGATCTAATAGAGTGCTTGCAACTGTAGATCTAACAGAGTCCTTGTCGGAAAGTCGATAAAGGAAACAAATTTCCTTTATCGATTTCTTAAATGAGATCTTTCAGTCATTGACTCCAGCTATTGGTCTCTTCTCGTTACTCTGGGGTCTCGGACTTCAGGTTGGGATTAAAATTGTCAAAAAGAAGTTGTTGATTGTTTTGTTTAAATCTATTTTAGGTTTCCTCTGCATCAATTTCCCCAGATTTCCGACCAGTGCCTCCGAATTTCACCTTACCAGCAAACTTTGGGAATTTATGCGAGTAAGTGAATGAAATTTGAACACTTTTTAAATGTTTTATTCTCAAATGAATAGCTCAACAGGTACATACAATTTCGATCATTCAATAGATCAAAAAAAACTTTAGCGACGCCACAAATGACACGGACACACTTTCGCACTTGAAACTTAAACATTTGAAACTTGAAACTTTAAACAGTAGTTTAGTTTTAAACAGTAGTTTAGCTTTAAACAATAGTTTAGCTTTAAACAGTAGTTTAGCTCTAAACCGTAGTTTAGTTTCAAACAGTAGTTTGGCTTTAAAGAGTAGTTTGGCTTTAAAGAGTAGTTTAGCTTTAACCTTGAGCACGCTCAACAAGTACAATCAATTTCGAGCATTTATTCAATAAATCAAAAAAAAACTTTAGCGACGCCACAAATGACACGGACACACTCTCGCAGAAAGTTCTCTCATCGCTTTTCCAAGAGGGTTACAATAAACAAACGCTGCCAACGAAGAACAAAGCGACTGGTTTGTTTAAGAATTCAATTAAAACTTAATTTTTAATATGTAATAAATGTAATAATAGGTTGATGCATAAGTCTTTTCGTTCCTTTTCGTCTGCCGTTTCAAGCCAACAAATGCACGAATTAAACTACGGTTGATTTCATTAGAAAAACCAATTATTTTTCTGCAAAATAACATTAAAACGGGTTTAAAAATATTTAATGCCTGGATTTTCTTAAAATAAAAAAAATAATGATTTGATCTGTCTTCGCACTTAGCGCAGATCACAACCCGCTTCCACATTTACTGAGGCAGAAGTGTAGTTGTCGTAGCCGATGATACTCCGATGGCCGGGCTGGGGCGCTCGGAGGGGAACCCATGGGAGTCGAACCCACGACTAACCCGCGCCGACGTTGCTCAACTTGGCAGATCGGACGGGGTCGACCACAGACCCTTCCCTTTCTGGGCCCCCCTGGATTTTCTTGAGAGTATGAAGTCGGGTAGTCAAAAAGGGCTAACTCGATGATGCGGTTTAGACACCTTAGCTAAAGAAAACCTATCTTCGTGTCAATAGATAAAAGATAGAGAAAAAAAACGTTTGATATTTCGCCAAAATTTCAGAGAAATTCATTCAGCCAATTTTTCCGTAGAGTTTTTTATAGATTTTTACGAAAAAGGCGTTTTTCACTCTCGAATTTGCTTGAAAGTGAACCGAAATTCATTTAAAAAGATGCAAATTGAACAAAAAAACACTTTTTTTATAGAGCAAACTATAGATTAATTGGTGAATTTGTTACTTTTTAACAGAAGTACGGAAAAAACGAAAAGACTTATGCATCAACCTAATAGATGTAATTAAAAAAGCTAAAAAAAGCTAAAAAAAGCTAAAAAAAGCTAAAAAAAGCTAAAAAAAAGCTAAAAAAGCTAAAAAAGCTATATAAAAAACTCTTCTAGAATTGTCGAATTTCAGTTGTAATCATCGAGTTCGTCATTCAAAGTTTCGGTCATATTTCTGAGATCACGTCGAGTATTACGCTCGATTTGTTATTCAGGTAAATCAAATAAAAAGATTTCAAAACTGAAATTTAAAAGCAATCTTATCAAAGTCATGTTTTATCTTCAAAAAAATCTCCTTAAATTTAAGTCAAATCTGGCACGATCCACGCCTTCGTTTTGATCATATCACTCCGTGTTTAGCGGTGAGATTTTTGTCGGGCTATCGTACTAAAATTCATTCCCAGAATCTCACTCTTGGCTATCAAATGGTGGACTCATTGTGGACGCCAAATGTGTGCTTTGTGAACTCAAAGAAAACCGAGATCCATTCATCGCCGACCCCGAATATTTTCCTCATGATTTACCCAAATGGAACTGTCTGGGTAAACTATCGATTGCAAGTGATTGGACCGTGTCAGGTGAGCTCAAAAAAAAATCTGTCAACAGCTCAGGAAATGGAGATTTTTAAGTAAGGTAAACTGGTAAAGTAAATTGGGGAGTTGTTCGATCATTGGTTTATCAAACATTTATCAGATATAAAAGGATGAAAGATGAGTACCTTGCACCATTCGAAAACCCGCCGAGTACAAATTTACAGCTGAATTGACAGTTGTATCTTCATTTTATAGATACAAAGCAAAAGAAAAATCACTGTGTAAAGTGACTGGCGAGGTGTTCTTTGGCTGCCGGGTAATCGCTGGCCGACTCGCACATGCCCCCGATAGATAGGTGTTTCCTTTTCCTAAAAGAAAAAGGAGCGCAGAGCGACTGAGCCCACTTTTTAAGGCGTCAATATGCCCAAATCTTTGGGAAAACTCTTTGCCCCAAATCTGCCTGTATTTTCTAAACCAAAACTTCGTATTCCTTCTTTAACTTTCAACTACCTATTCCCAAAATAACCCTTTAGGTAGATCTTTCCCTTTTTCCGATGGACGTAATGGTTTGCGAGTTGGTGATCGAAAGCTACGCGTTCAACTCGGCCAAAGTCGTCTTGAATTGGAGAGATTGGGCGCCGGTGAGAGATTTCTGCTTTTGTCGTCTTTTTTCATTTATTTGAAAGAATATCCACATATTTTATCAATCCAAATGCCAGTCTCAAGTTCAACATTCAGGTGTTTTCCATAGCAAAATCGAAACTCGCCGACTTCACGTTGTATGGAATGCAATGGACAAAGAATAATTTCGAGTATGCCGCCGGGCAATGGGATCAGGTAAGGAAAGGAATCTAGAAAGAAAGTATATCGAAACACCATCTTTCTAGCGTACTTCAAAAGATAAAATGTACCAGAAAGAGTTTATTTCAATAGACTTTTTTTCAGCTAACAGTCGCATTGACGTTCTCACGCGCGTACGGGTTCTATATTCTTCAAATGTACATGCCTACATATTCCTCCGTTTTTTTGTCATTTGTCTCATTTTGGATTGATGTAAAGGTAAAGATTTGAAGATTGATTATTTGAAAATATTTCATTCAAAACGCAGGCTTTACCGGCTCGAATAACACTTGGAGTGAGCTCGTTGATGGCGCTGACTTTTCAGGTGATTTGTGACATTTTTCAAAAGCTAAACTACTGTAATCGAAGTCAGAATAAAAGCTCGCTTTCATTATAGATATTTAATCGTATCGAAATAATCCTTCAATCTTAATCTTTAGTATGGAAATGTGGCAAAATCGTTGCCGAAAGTTGGCTACGTGAAATCGATTGACGTCTACATGTGCTTAGCCACCGGGTAGATTTAAACATAGCTTTAAACATCGATTTATTTCAAAGAATCCTTTTTAGCTTCATTTTCTTCACGATGATTGAAGTGGCTTTGATATGGTGAGTGAAATAAGGCTTTACTATACAAACAAAACAAAAAACTGTTTTAGTTATATTGACGGGCAAAACAACAAGGAGAGGAAACAGAGAAGAGCAGCGGACAAAGAGAAACGAATCGATATTCTGAAGAAGTTTGTTTTACAAGGAATCCTTATTGCTTTCATAGCTGATGCAGTGAGCTCAAATTTTTCAAAATTTTTGATCCAGTGCTTTGGATTTAGCTTTTAAAACTTGTCAAGCACAAGTCAAAGTTGATGTATTCAGTTAAAAGTTAAAAGGGTCTTGTTAAAACCAAAAAATCAGTTACAATTTTTGATTTTATTTCAGTAAAAGCGCAAAACGCAAGCACACTGTGCACAAAGAGATCAAACACAATTATGGGGCAGTCACGTTCAGCAATGAGGTGGCAATGGAAGCTGATGTGAGAACGGAGAAAGAGGATCCATTCACGGTGAGTGACGAGGGGGAAACAAGCTGTGCTTTAGTTTTTGATGAAATTAGCAATTTCAATTGAAATGTCTGAGCATTGTCACTTCAAACAAGTCTCTGAATGATTCATTTGCTTTTGTAGCTTTTGTAGCAAATAAATCATTCAGAGAATAAATGGATTCAACTCTTTTCTATCAACTACACTACTGGACAATGAAATATCATATTTGAAAAACGATCGTCACTTTCGCGCGTCTGTAACTCCCTTGTCTTTGCCGTATTTCTAAATATTAATATTACCATTGTGTAGCCCTTGAAAAGAGCTTTCAGAAAATGTAGAACACTAATAGTTTAAACTCAAAGACAAGGGAGTTACAGACGCGCGAAAGTGACGATCGTTTTTCAAATATGATATTTCATTGTCCAGTACTGTATGTTAACTCCGTTCCGTTTTCAGTCGGTTTGCTGCTGGCAATCTACGAATTTTACTCGTATCTTGATCGGGATTTGTTTGAAAAACCTTGAATTTGCTTTCATTCGTTAGAAAATTTCAGTTCGAGTCAAATGAAAGCAAATTCAACGTTTTTTCAAACAAACCCGGCAAAGATACGAACAAAATAGATTGCCAAAAATAAACAGACTGAAAAAGAGGGCGGAATTAACATAGCTGCTCTCTTCAACACTCTAATTTGCGGACCATGAAGATTGCGCCAAATTATCATTTACCAGAGCTTTAGCTTTGTGCAAGTCTGACATCAAAATGTAGCCCTTCAATTGGGCTACACGATGGTCTAAAAAACTTTTAGAAAAACTGTTGTTTAGCAGAAGAAAAATGGCCGCAAAGTGAGAGCACCGATTGTACATCGCAATTGCGACCTCTCACTTTGGGGTCATTTTTCTTGTACTAAGCAACAGTTTTTCTAAAAGTATTTAGACCATCGTGTAGCCTAATTGAAGGGCTACATTTTGATAGCAAACTTGCAAAAGGTAAAGGTTCGGGTAAATGGCAATTTCATTCGGCGCAATCTTTATGGTCCCTAATTATCTCTTCCGAATATCAAAAAAGTAAACACAATACAGGAAATTCGAGAAAACGGGAATCGAAAGGAGAGCCAGCCGCCAAAAGATGTGAATCGAATGTTCGAGAGTTTACATGCATTGGCAACAATGGGACTTTTGAGTGAGGACGAGCCTGAGCCACAATGGACAGCTGAGAGAATTGATCGCATTTGCCGGTAGGATTTGTGGAAATGAATCGTGAAAACGAATTAGTGATGCGATGTTTAAAATGTTGAAAATCGTTTTTTTTTTTATTCAGCAAGCTCTTCCCAGCCTCGTTCACCCTTCTCAACATTGTCTATTGGGTCTACTATTTGTATCACAGTTATCACGCTAAAGAGTTGGCACTGAATGGACAATTGCAACCAAAAGAATGAGGCGTATGATCGATTTCTATTTTCTCTTTATTTCCTTTATTTTCTTCATCAATTTCTTTCTGAAAGAAAAATTTTACGGGTAAAAATAGTCTCTGAGGTTTTTACAATAATTTTCTTCTGTTCTTGAAATCGGGTTTATTGAGTGTACAGAGTATAGAGTTCTTAAACTTTTAAAGACTAATTAAAGAATAATTAAAGAATAACTAAAGAATAACTAAAGACTAACTAAAGAATAGCTAAAGAATAGCTAAAGAATAATTAAAGAATAACTAAAGAATAACTAAAGACCAACTAAAGACTAACTAAAGAATAGCTAAAGAATAGCTAAAGTCTAATTAAAAAATAGCTAAAGAATAACTAAAGAATAACTAAAGAATAACTAAAGAATAACTAAAGAATAACTAAAGAATAGCTAAAGAATAACTTAACGAATAACTTAACTAAAGAATCCTTTTTTAAAAATATCATCGAATTCAAAAATTTCAAGTATTTTTAAATTTAGAAAACTAATTTTCACAAAAAATTATCAAAACTCCCTCAATTATCAAAAATTTCCTTTAGCATTTAATTTCGTGTGTAAAAACACTTTCCTAGGGTGAAAAATATTTGTATTTTCTGAATTCAATGTTATTTTTGATCAATATTGATTCTAAAAAACGATTCACTTCTAAAAAGATGACTCAAAAAAATATTTCAAGAACTTTGTATCGTGTATTTGTACGAAGAAAATTTATGCACACTTTATTAACGCTTGAGTGAAATAAAGCTTTTCAAAAACGTAATAGACTAGAAAAAGTTCGAAGTTAGAAGGTAAAGATAAAGATAAAGAGATCAAGAAAAGAAAAAAAAGCACTGAAATATTTGCATATAGGATTTGGGCAAAGAAAGCAAGTAGAACTGGAGCAAAACAAGCAAAAAAAATGATTAAAATGAAAAAAATGAAAAAAGAATAGAAATTTTCATTTCAAAACATGTAGTCATGCGGAAAAAAGATGGACACTTTTAGAGAAAAATGGCACTTAAATGAATCGAATTTGATATAGGGAATCGTCGTTCAAAGGGATTTCGTTTGATGACGATTCCCTTTTTAGCAATTGAATCATAGCAATCTCATGTACAATAGTTCGCATAAACCGCGCTAAAAGTCTCCTCCACCAAAATCTCCGCCGCCGAAATCACCTCCACCGAAATCTCCACCACCAAAATCATTTCCACCTACATCGCTTGAATCAAAGAAACCACCACCATCTCCACCATCTCCATAGTCATTATTGCCTGAAAGATCTTGTTTTAAGCTTTCTTTTTAAATGTATTTTGTGCTTTAATCGATCAGGGTTAACCCAAAACCAAAGCTCAGCAATTTCTTTAGCGTTTAGCTTGGTTTAGTCCGGTTTTTAAGCACTTTTACAAAAAAAAGTTGCCTGCAGCCATTCCCTAAAGATTACCGTAGAAATTCTAATAGGTTGATGCATAAGTCTTTTCGTTTTTTCCGTACTTCTGTTAAAAAGTAACAAATTCACCAATTAATCTATAGTTTGCTCTATAAAAAAAGTGTTTTTTGTTCAATTTGCATCTTTTTAAATGAATTTCGGTTCACTTTCAAGCAAATTCGAGAGTGAAAAACGCCTTTTTCGTAAAAATCTATAAAAAACTCTACGGAAAAATTGGCTGAATGAATTTCTCTGAAATTTTGGCGAAATATCAAACTTTTTTTCTCTATCTTTTATCTATTGACACGAAGATAGGTTTTCTTTAGCTAAGGTGTCTAAACCGCATCATCGAGTTAGCCCTTTTTGACTACCCGACTTCATACTCTCAAGAAAATCCAGGCATTAAATATTTTTAAACCCGTTTTAATGTTATTTTGCAGAAAAATAATTGCTTTTTCTAATGAAATCAACCGTAGTTTAATTGGTGCATTTGTTGGCTTGAAACGGCAGACGAAAAGGAACGAAAAGACTTATGCATCAACCTAATAATAGAAATAGTTGTAGAAATAGCCCTAGAAAGTGCTTTTATAGGCTCTTCTATTAGAATATTTACGGTACTTTTAGTCAATTGGTCAATAGACTTATACTTTGTTTATTCTTATTTAATTTTTGTGTCTTACCGTAATCCCCACTTCCGTAGTTGTCTCCAGTCTGATCGTAGTCATTGTAATGTGTGTCTTGACCATCCTAAAGAGTATCGTTTAGTAAAGAAAATATAAAATAGAATGGATATTCTTTAGATAGATCAATCTCACCCCAACAGGCTCACTGCTCGAAGTCGTTTGATCGTTGGTGCTCTGTGCGGTGGTGTTGTTGCCCGAGTCGCCATAGTTGTAGTAGTTGTTGGTGATGTTTGTATCGTTGTCCTGGAAATGGTTGGAAGTTCATCAAAATTGGATGTAGAGAAAACTCACCGAATAGTATCCACCTCCAAATCCACCGCCTCCACCATATCCACCATATCCACCGCCGTAACCGCCTCCCCAGCCACCGCCCCAGCTATGATAGCTTGGAGAGAAAAAGCTGCCAACTCCTGGAAAATGGTTTTACACCTCAAGTTTGCCTATTTCTTGCGGCTGACATGAGTAATTTGTTAAGAACTGTGACATAAATCGGTTCTTCTCGCAAATCCGAGTCTTTTCATTATGAAAAGCTATAATATGCAAAATTCGGAGTCGATAAATGTTTGCAAAAGTTTTTCTTCTTTTTCAGCTCTCACTTTAACCCACCATATCCAAGGAGTGATCCCATGAGCAGTCCGGATCCCAAACCCAAACCCGATCCACCCCCGAAACCGCCGCCACCACCATATCCACCGCCTCCATAGCCACCACGATCTTGCACGATCACTAAAAGTGACAAAGATATATGAATCCTAAAGCCAACCAACCAGTCGTGTGAGAAGGCGTTCCACCGTAATACCCGCCTCCGTTATTGTGGCCAGGTGCAGTATATCCACCGGGTGGCGGTGGTTGGCTAGGGGTATGCTTGAGCGCCCGCATAGGGTGGAGGAGCCGGTCCCGGGTTGTAGGCTAAATAAAAACAAAGTATAAAAAAAGGTCAAAAGATGTTCTTACTCTGTGGTTGATATCCACCGGCAGCGATTGGAGGATTCGAAGGATACGTGTTAGGAGCCTGTGGCGGAGCGTCTGGGTACTTTCCCGGTGGCGCTAAAATGATAAAATCATTATTGGAGTTTTCTAAAACGTGTCAACTTTCAAAACTTATCATAATCTTGTCTCTATTTTTGTCTAATCTGTCTACTTTTGGTTTGTTTCAATTTCCTTTGTGAATGCGAACAGGATCAGAACAAACAGGGTGGATAAAATTGAGATAAAGAAAGCTCTAACTCTGTAAGCTTTCAAAATTTCTAAATTTAGAAAGCTTAAAGCTTTTAAACTAAATCTAAATCTTTTAAACGATACCATAAGCTCCATTTTGTTGTGATTGTCCAGGTGGTGGTGGGCCTTGCGCGGCTTGTGGCGGGGGATTCGGCTTCGGAAGGGTTTTCATGATCTCCGTGAACCAGCCTCTAAAAACGTAAATTTGTAAATGACGCTAAGCTCTGTACGCAATTCTGATAACCTGTTGTGCTTTTCTAAAACTCACTCCAAATCGGCATCACTCGCAAAAAGCAACCAATGCACATTTTCGGCGCGCGGATCAAGCCCGATTCCGACCAAATGATGTACGGAGTGACCGTCGGGTAAAGAGGGACGCCTGGCTGAAAGAGATAAATGTAAAATACTCGAAATACTGTAAATACTGTAAGAAATACTGCCTAGTAAATTTTTAAAATATATTTCAAACGATTACTTGGCATTCGATCGGTCATCAAACCAACACAAATGTACGGGACCACATCTTTCAACAGGACACTCCCAGCCGGTTTTCGATCTCCCTAAAAGTTGAATTTTTATTGTGCTCAGCTTTAGACTTCAAGAATTTCAGAATACTCATCAGTCAAACATTTTTGTACACAAATTTCCTTTAAAACTGACACGTCCAAGAAAAGTTTCAAATGAATTTAGTGAAAAAAACCAGATGCTGGCTCAATCAGACCTAATTCTAAAGTCTACAAGTGCAAAAGCTAAAAAAACCATTAATAAAACCAACCTTTTCATCGTACCAGCATAAACGAGAATCCGAGAAAAGAATGAGATGATTTTTCTTCCATTTACTCCCCAAAAGTTGCTTCTTAAAGCGCATCACCTCACCCTCTTTCAACTTTCGAATGTCCATTTCTGAAAAAAAATATTCACATTAACAAAGAAATCAAAATCAAAACCATTTCAATAAATAAATATCAATAAACAATTCTTATCTAATTTTTCTAGTAAAGAAAAGAGGAAAAACACGTGAAGAAATGGTTATTTATTGGAAAGATTGACAAGAGGTAAAGAAAGAAAACTTTGTTGAAGTTTTCGTCAACTTTTTAGCCAGCATTGAAATCTTGTCTAGGATGGGGATATTTTGAAATAAAAAACGTCTTTTCTGCAAAAAAAAGGCCAAGGGGTAGAAAAATGAGCGAAATCTCGGTAATGACTCATCGCTTTGTGGGAAAATGGCAAATTTTTCCGAAAACAAGAGAAAAAGCGCGGGTTTTCGCGATTTCAAAATGACTTAGCTACTAAAAATTTCATAAATTGTATATTCAAATGGCGAATAGATGCGAATAGATGCAAGTTTTCGAAACAAAAGCGACTTAGAAAGCGACTCTGGCAAGCTTAGAAAGTTCACGTACAAAATTTTTTCTCAAAGTTTACCAATTAAAGTTTGTTTTAGATAAATATGATTAAATCAGCTTTCGAAATAAAGTACAGCGTTGTTTTTTGAGAATTGATACTTTCAATTAAGCTTCACCCACTAAAAACATTTGCTATTGCGGTTTTTGACGAGCAAAGCATCTTGATTTAGAAATTTTCCGGGAAGAGGTATTCTAGAGGAAAAATCAATTCTAAAGAGTTGGCATTTTTCTTTTTATAGAAAAACTTGTGAAAATTGCTCAACCAAAAGTGCTCTACTAAAAGGCTAAAAAAGGGAATAAAGGAAGAGTAAAGGGGGAAACGATTCGAAGAAATGATTTCTCCGGTTTGCATTAAAAAATAAAGCATTTCATTACACAAAGTAACATTACAAATTGTCGAATCGCATAAACCTTTTGTAAAGCGCTGGTTTTTTTTGGAAAATAGAAGTTTTAATTTTGTTCTTTTGTTCTCTGTGAAGGAAAAATGAAATGCAAAAAAAATTTCGGGTTTAATTCAAAGCATGAAACTTATTTTAAACAAAATTCATAAGTTTTCAAGAGAATTCTAGAGTTTTTTTGAATAAAGCCAACACAAATTCTTGTAGAAAAATGGCACGAAAAGGTGAACGGAATATAGTTACCGTAAATACTGTAATAGTACCCCACCGCCCTCGTACAGTCGGGTAGTCACAAAAGTTTTTTAGTATTTCATTTTTTTTCAAAGCGCCCGTACTTTCAAAAATGCGTCTTTGGTATCAAAAAATAGCTGAAATTCGGGGCTATTTTTTGATACCTAAGCGAGCATTCTAGCTTAAACCAGTGTCGAGAAAAACTCGCTCAAAGCTAGACTACGCAACACTCCACACCGTCATTATGGGGCTGGGGTACTATTACAGTATTTACGGTAAGTGTCGATTTCAAAATACATCATAAAAACAATTAAACTACATGTGAGTAATGAAAAATTTTCTTTTCCAATGTGGCCAAGAGATCGATTTTTTCGGTGGGTGGGAAAAATGGGGAAAATGGAGAAAGAAAAAAAAGTGGGAAAGAGTCCCAAACACAAATGATGAAAGAGAGCTCTTTTCCATTTTTCTCTCAAAATTTCTCGAGTTCTCTCGAAAATTCCTTGATTTTCTCAAAAAATTTCTCTGCATCTCTCAGTTTTTCCTTCTTCTTATATGTTTGTTTTGAGGTTTTTTTTTTGTTTTTTGTTTCTTTTCGTGAACCTTTTTGGTCGATAAAACTCTCTGTTTCTTTAAAAAAAGCTCAATATTTTTCTATTTTTTGTTAACACGATGATGAAAAGTGTATAGAATTAATGAATAGTGAGTAATGAATAATGAAATAGTGAATGAAATAATGAATAATGAATAATGAATAATGAAAATTTGAAAAATGAATAGATTTTATAAAGATTTTCAATGAATTTTGAAAAAAATATTGTTTAAAGATTGTTTTAAAAGTTAAATGATTTTCATTTTTTTGCATTTGAATTGAAGATATTGTTTATTGACTGAATACTTCTTTATACTCTAAGAATAAGATTTTAGATTTTTTCAACTATAGACTATAGATTTTAAACTACCGTATTTTCTCTAATAGTAGTGCACCCCGACAAGCCAAGTTGATGACTATTTTACGGTTTCCAAGTTTTCCCAGAAGTCCAACACTCTAATCCTCCACAAGATCTCATCGTCAGCTACATTTTCCGACCTCAAATCGATAGGTTCTGATAAGCGGTTCTCGAGATTTCGAGCAATTTAGGCGATGCTCACGGTGCACTACTATTAGAGGGAAGCCGGTATATTATTCCAGGTTAGGCTAGTAGATCAGAACGATCTGTCTCCCTAATATTTCCCCATGAGCCGAGTTGATGACTATTTTACAGTTTCCAAGTTTTCCCAGAAGTCCAACTCTCAAATCCCCCACAAGATCTCATCGTCAGCTACATTTTCCGACCTCAAATCGATAGGTTCTGATAAGCGGTTCTCGAGATTTCGAGCAATTTAGGCGATGCTCACGGTGCACTACTATTGGAGAAAATACGGTATCTAAATCATTAACTTTTAAACATAATTTGTTTTCGATTTACTTAATGTGAAAGATCAAAAAAATCGGGTCACGCAACTCCAGGCGCTTGATTTAGCCTCCAGAGTATCGGATTTCAATGAACTTTTTTTAAATTGAAAAGCCAACATTTTAAGCTATCTAATGATACCTATCACTTAGAATTTTCTTTTAAAAAAAGTGGCCCAAAAGCCGAAAAAAAAAACCTTACCGAGACGAGAAAATTCCTCGTTATTTTTGTTAATTCTTGATAAGGTTTTTGGTCGACTTTTTTCAAAAGAAAAAATAAGTGATGCATATCATTAGATAGCTTAAAATGTTGGCTTTTAAATTTTTAAAAAAGTTCATTGAAATCCGATACTCTGGAGGCTAGATCAAGCGCCTGGAGTTGCGTGACCCATTTGTCGCGTTAATTTTTCGTTAAGCAATTCGTTTTATTTTGTTTATTAAACATAAAGTAGGCCTAGATTAATAGTTTTAAAGTATTTACAGCAACGTTTATTACGTGGATATGTTTTGTTTATGTAGAAAAAGATAAAAATCGAAATGAAATATTGAAAATGATTGAGAGAAAGACATGAAATGTGAAATTGGATCAAAATGAGAAGTAAAAACAAAGAAGTAAAGAAAAGAAAAAGAGGAGAAGAGATCACAGAAAAACAAAAATCAAGATGGACCATCAAGCACCTGAATTTTGATGGATCAAAAATGATACAGAAAAGTGGGTTTTTGTTTTTGAAAACTTTAAGATATGTGACAAAGACTTTAAGATATATTGCCTCATTGTTGCCTCATTGTTGCCTCATTTACTAAAAGAAATTCCGAAACAAGTAAAACAAAATGAAAACTCGGAAAAGGTTTCTTTGAGAGGTGGCTGCTGTGTAGACGTCACGATTACATACCGTATTTCTTCGAATAGAAGACCGGGTAAAGAGTATCATCGCGTACTCCTGCGTAGCAGCCCTTTTTAAAATTTCTTTTCTGCATAAAAGCTTTCAATCAAGTGCTATAGGGCTGGAAAATGACTCAAAAATACCACATGAGCTAACAAATTTTTGAGCCATTTTTCAGCACTATAGCACTTGATTGAAAGCTTTTATGTAGAAAAGAAATTTTAAAAAGGGCTGCTCCGCAGGAGTACGCGATGATACTCTTCACCCGGTCTTCTATTCGAAGAAATACGGTAAATCATAATTATTGCAAGCACACGACTCCTTCACGGTTTTTGAAAACTGTAAGATATGTGACAAAGACTTTAAGATATATTGCCTTATTGTTGCCTCTTAAAAGAAATTCCGAATCAAGCAAAACAAAATGAAAAGTCGGAAAGGGTTTCTTTGAGAGGTGGCTGCTGTGTAGACGTCACGATTACATAAATCGTAATTATTGCAAGCACACGACTCCTCCACGAATTCTCCACGTAGCCATTTCTTCGCGCAACCGAGTTGAATCTAGAAATTAAGCAAAAATTTTTGAAATCCACTTGATACATTCAGTCTTTTTTCAGATCAATAACCAATTTTACATAGCTTGGGCGTAGTTTACTTTCAAAAATTTTTACTTCAGGATTAAGTGTCGTTGAAAAGGATTTTACATCTAAGGATTTTCTCTAAGGATTTTACAATATTTACAGCAAACTTTCCCCCACCTGACTACTCATAGAAACATTCATACATCCTTGCTTCTCCGAGGTAATTTGTTGACCTAAAAGTTTTCTGTGAAACTCAAAAACCTCTTAAATGCACCATTCGGTAAGAGTTGTTGATGACGAGCAAATGTGCAATAATGGCCAATGCATCGATTCTGTTTACACGAGGCGGTGATCGCCGCCTCTTGTGCGTTCACATCACAATTGTAGCACTGGCGAAAGGGAAGATCATGGGGAGAACTGAAAGTGGATTTGTGATTCTATTTGTGATGTGAAAAAAGACTCTATTTTTATTTGTTATCAATCGGAAATTGAACTTTAGGCAACTTACGGCGGCTGTGCATTCCGATATGCTTGTTTTGCATGATTACAGTAAGGTCGATTGCAGATGCAATGTCGTCGCGGTACACCGGAGCCTCTAGAATAAATAGTAAGGAATGGGTAAGAAAGATTTCCGGAGAGATGATTGAACGGCTTTTCAATTGCAATTGCTCTAACCACTCAGCTATCCGATATCTTTTTGCCAGAGAGGAAATAGCAAATACAAGGGGGAAGAGAAAAGAAAAAAAGAGAAGGAAATAAGCTATAAGTCTATAAGTTAACAAAAATGATAATGATCTTGTAAATCTCTCTTACCTGCTCATTGTCACACAAATCTTTGATGTATGATAGAAAAGCTCGGGTCCTTTATGGAAAAATGGAAGTGATGGGGGACCATAGCCACAACCGGATGCTCCAGTGGCTGAATCCTCGTGACACCTAAAAGCTTCAAGATAA